GTCTATTATATACATGGAAAGAATCATTTACCCAAATGTTTTAAATTTAAACACCATGTGTTGAGTATTCAGAAAATCTTTGATGAGTTACACAGATCTAAATGTCAACACATTTCATCCAATATTGAAAAATCACAATGATTACTATTATCAAACATCTCATTTAAAAAAGTTCTAGTGGACTGGATATGGTGGTGCACACCTATAAATCCCAGCTACTCAGGAGGCTAAGCAAGAGGATCCCAACTTCAAGGGCAGCCTTAGGAATTTAGCAAGACCCTGCCTCAAAATAAAATATTTTTGGGGTCTGGGGTGTGGTTCAGTGGTACAGCACTTGCCTAGTATGCGTGAGGCCCTGGATTTGATCCTCAGCACATCATATAAATAAATAAAATAAAGGTATTGTGTCCATCTACAACTGAAAATTATATTCAAAAATATTTTGGGGATGTAGCTTGTAGCTCAGTGATAAAAGTACCCCTGGATTCTATCCCTAGTACCTCCAACCCCCACCCCCACCCCCCCAAAAAAAATTCAAGTGGTAGGAAGGTGTCAAACTCCTGGGAGCAAATACTTTTTCCAAAATTCAAATATTCACTTGAAAACCCTATTGGCAGTTATTATCTGTTGTTTTCCTTAAACGGTACCCTATTGTTCATTTTTGACAAAATGGACAAGCACAGTTTATCTGCTAGATAGTCTTTCAAATAAAAATGACATTCCACATACAAAATGGCTAGTTCAGCCTGCCCTAGAGGCTTCTTCCTCCAGAGAGCTAATGTTTTCACGATGCCTCCCAAGCACTTCCGGCATACTCCACGCAGCCATGGGGAATACCGCAAGATCTGTAGCCAGGGGTTGAGAGCTACTTGGTGTTTTGTACTGCTTCATCAAGGTTATCATCTAGTGAAATGTGGTTTCGGTTACTCACCCTGAGACTGTGGTGCTGAACAGGTGGCACTAGTGTAGTTTGGGGTCACTGCAGTTTACCCACCACTGCAAATTCAGCCCAGTGAAAAGGATGGCATTTCAGTGTCACTGCAAAAATACTCTGTACCTTAGGTTACCTGAGAGCACCCTGGTGAGCATGAGAGGCTCAAGGTCCAGGCTGGGGGTAGGGACCCTCTGCAAGCACTAGACTGATCCTGCCCTGCCTCAGGAGGGCAGGGTCAACTTCCTCCCAAAGCAGGTAGGCCATGAGGAGGGGAGCTTATCTGAATGAAAGCCTTAGTCATCTCAAGAGGGGAACAGAGGCATCGGATTGCCACACCTCTGCTGCATAAACTAGAAAAGCACACAGTGGAAACTGTAGGTAAGAAAACTGGATGTAAGTGAAAGACTTTCATTCAGTATTCAAACAGATTACTGTTTAAATCTTTTAGAACAAGAATGTCTTCTTGTTTTATTAGTATAAGTGGAAAAATAAAAGCGTGTGTGGAAACTGACCAGAAAGAAGCCCCAGGGGTAAAGGGGATTGGGGTTGTCACTGTTAACCCAGGTGCCAGCAGCCTTCGGAGGTCAGGATGCTCCTCATAACCACTATTTCTGAAAGAGTTAAGGAAAATGGGGGAGGGAGACAATGTGATGGGCGCTGTGAGTGAGTAGATAAAAGGTATCCTAGTTCAAGATCTTTCCATTCTTTCACACTCAGACCAGTGGCTTTCCTTGGCTTCTAAGGGTACTGGTTTCAGATAGCACCTTTCTGTTACCACTTAGGGTGGCTGATTTACAGTACACCTGAGGGCCACAGGTTTCCTGTTGACTCAACTTGGGCCGAGACCTCAGATCCCCCAGGCAGAATGCTTGGCTTCACTTTTGTCAGGTGGCTCTGTGGGTTCCAATATCTCCTGGGAATCAATAGTAGGATTATTGACCTTAGCACCATCCTTGGTAAAATTTTCTCTATCTCGATATTTTTATAGTATATTTGTCTTAATTAATATTTTTGCAATTAAATCCTATATGGCTCTTATTTTGGTGTAGGTTTGTGAGTATCCCTGAGAATACAGATTAGAGATGCAGTAAAACCTAGTTGTCAGATGTTCAGCCTACCTGACCGCTGAACCTGAGCAGAGTCTTGGAGGCCAGACCTGTGCTGGACAATGGCCCTGCTCCCACCCAGAGCACCCCAAATGACACTGTATTGCACCTTCCTCAGGTAGCAAGAAAGAATAATATTGAGGACAAGAGATAGCCTGATGATTTCTTTTAATAAAGGCTGCGCTGAGGTGCATTTTGATACATTTTCTTACTTGCAAGTCCTTATCAGATTTTTTTTTAATTCTTTTTTTTTTTTTTTAATTTTTTTAGCTGTAGATGGACACAATACCCTTTATTTATTTATTTATGTTTATGTGGTGCCGGGGATAGCACCCAGTGGCTCATGCATGCTAGGCAAGCGATCTACAGCTGAGCCACAACCCTGGCCCCCTTTATCAGATTCTGACATACCATTTGACATTAACAAAGTTAATGCTTGAATGCAGAAGAAACTTTGATACTCAGAACTCTGATGATATGCTTTCATCAATGACTTTGATGTTTAAAAGCATATCCCACCAAGATAGAATCCTGTGGTAGAAGAATAAAAAGCATTTTTCAGGAGAATAATGATCAGGGCAAACTTTCCAACTGGTAAAAGGCTTCAGTATATTTAAAATGAATCAGGGTAGGTACAAATTCACTATGGTACTAATGACCTGTGGGTCCATCTAAGATTTTTGTAGCCACTTTATTTTCAAAACGGTACTCATCAGAATCTATTTCCTTTGTAACTATTTAAATTTATAATTTAAAAACCCTTTAATATCAACCCAATAATGTGTTAGGGGAATATGCAGCATTCTTTCAGTGAGCATCTAAATTTTTTTTAAGTTTGTCCCACTATAAGCACTCTCTCAGCTACCGACCTCCACTCAACTTGGGCTGAGACCTCAGATCCCCCAGGCAGAATGCTCTGCTTCACTTTGTCTGGTGGCTCTGTGGGTTCCAATATCTCCTGGGAATCAATACGTACGATTATTGACTTTAGCACCATCCTTGGTAAAATTTTCTCTATCTCAATATTTTCATTTAAGATGAATCAGGGTAGGTACAAATTCACTCTAGCTTCAGTCTGGCTAACAGCACCCTAAAGTTTCATCTTTTGTATCACTTCACTGGTAAGACTTCTTTGCCCCCAGACTAAATTAGCTCTCCATGACATATGCTCCCATGGTACCCTGGTTTCCCCCTTTCTATCCCACGTGGATCCCTGTTAAAAGCAGCACCAGGAACAAAGAAGAATCAGTGTGTCCAGTGTCAACCAGGCTCCCAGCAGTCTGCAGAGGTTGGATGTTCCTTAAGAAGCACCATTTCTGGCTGGGGTAGAGCGCTTGCCTCACATGCATGAAGCACAGGGGTCAATCCTCAGCATCACATATAAATAAATAAATAAAGATATTGTGTCAATCTACGATTAAAAGAAAAAAGAAAAAGGCAGCACCATTTCAGCAACCGTGGAAAAAGGAAAATGGACTCTGACCAAAAGGGATTACGCAAAACTCAAGATGAGGAAGCAGAAAAGGGGATGTGAGCTGATGATTAAGAAGTCTGGATGGAAAAGGAGAAAACGGAGAAAAAAAAAAGAGGGGATAACTCCCCAAAATTAACATATTTGCACAGACACATTTATTCACTTTTGACTATAGATCCTAATGTGAAGACAGCCTGTCTCTATACTTTTTCCTAATGAAGGGAAGTCTAGTCTCAACTTGTTAGGGCAGACGGATCTTCAAGGTTGTGGATGCTTGTCTATCACCTCCCCAGTTTACAAAAATATTTACTTTATAGATTCTCCAAGTGTAGGTAAGTACTTTAAGCACCACACACAAAAATATGAGGCTCCAAAAAAAAAAAATCTGCAAAGGTCTAATATAAAATCAACTGTTGGAAACATCCTGTTCCGTACGCACAAACATGCCATTATCATCATTCCTGTGATGGAAGAAAGACAGGCCTAACCCTGCAACTCCCTAGTGAGACCGACGGGAACAGCCCATCTCCTGCGCCGGCTGGGCAACGCCGAGGAGGTGCGCGTCCCTTGCCTGGCCTTGGCAGACCACGAGGCCGAAAGCCGCCTGCCACTTGTCCGCGCAGGGACCTCTGATAGCGCTCGGAACAACTACTGTCACCATTCGAACTGCGTCTCGTTGACCTTCCCACAGGGCGCTGGACAAACGTTCGCGACACACACGAGGTCCGGCGCGTTCCCGGGGCTCCCCAAACGCGCGCGTCTCGGCGGCTGCGCTCCTCCAGGGGCTCGCAGGGAGCACCCAGGGACCCCCGGGCGTACCGGCAGGAGGGCGTGTTCCAGGCAGCCCGAGGGTCGCTCAAACCAGCTGGGCGAAGGTCCAGCGAGGGGCAGACGGGCGCTAGCCCCTGCTCGGCCCACACCCACCTTGCCCCGGGTGCTCCCAGTCACCGCCTCCCTAGGCGCATCTGCAGCCACCCAGCGGGGGGAGCATGCGCAGTGGCGAGAACCCGCCCCAGCGCACCCGGGCGGCAGTTTCAACTCAACCGTCAGTGGGAACTGGCCAATCGGAGGGCGGTTTTCCAGGCAGAGACACGCCCCTGGCAGGGACGACGGTGACGGGTGGCCAATAGGAAGAAGCGTTATTGCCGCGGAGCCCCTCCCCGGCAGGGGACCTAGTGACGGGCGAGGGTCAAGGGGTGTCACCGCTCCTGAGCAGCGAGCTCCGCAGGGCCACGCGTCCCCTTGCGCGGCGGCCACGAGCAGCGCGCCGGCCCGCACTCCCAGTCGGCGCCCCGGCGGCGGCGCGGCCCATGCGGCTGGGGACGGAGGCCGGGAGCGGGTGGCGGGCTCGGCCTCTCGGCGGCCGGGGCCTGGGAGGTGAGGGGGCGGCGGCGCGCCCGGCCCCGCGCCGTGATTGGCCGCGCGCCGGCCGCGGCTGAGGCCCGGCGCCGGGCGGGGAGGACAGGCGGAGCCCCGGCCGCCGAGCCGGGAAGATGCTGCTGTCCCTGGTGCTCCACATGTACTCCATGCGCTACCTGCTGCCGAGCGTCGTGCTCCTGGGCTCGGCGCCCACCTACGTGCTGGCCTGGGGGGTCTGGCGGCTGCTGTCCGCCCTCCTGCCAGCCCGCATCTACCAGGCGGTGGACGACCGGCTGTACTGGGTCTACCAGAGCACGGTGCTCTTCTTCTTCGAGAACTACACCGGGGTGCAGGTGAGCCCCTTGGCCCCGCGGCGCCGCTGCCTCCACCTGAGCCCCCACCCGGGGTTTGGGATCACTCTGGCCTTCTTGGCAGGTCCAGCCCAAGAACACGTGCTAGCACCCATCCTCCCCCGGGGAGGGGGAGGTTTCTCGTTTTCACTCTGAGGTTCCTTGCAGGTCCCCGAGGTCTCTCGGAGGCGGTAGTAACGTCGTTCCGAGGCTGCCACCGGGGTCCTCCGCCCCCGCCCGCGTCCCCGCCCCCTGCCCGGGTCTGGTGTTTCTGTCTGTCTTGGTGCCTGGCACAGTAGGTGAGATGAACACTTTAAGTAGGGCAAGCACTTGGCTGGTGTTTTTGGCATTTCATCCAAGAAGGTGATAGTGTTGGAACAGGATCCGTTTTCACTCAGAAGTGCGTTTTAAAAGGACCTCTTGCGACTGATGTTACCATTTGGAGGATGAATAAAACTCTTGTTTTGCGTTTTTCCCCAGAGCAAGTGAGAGCTGGGTTAGGAAATGAATACATTTGTTACGGTAGAAGCCTTACTGTAGATACAGCTGCTCTTGCCAACTTTGACTAGGTCTGAATGTGGGTCTGATCTTTGGTCTGATTGCTTTCTCCCTGTTAGTTTCTTTCTCTATACAGATAGGATTTGTAGATTAAACTTGCAAAACAATAAAAGTAGAAGGTCTTAACAACATTAGTTATCTTAAAATATGTGAAGTATCTTAAAAATGAGAATTGTCCTTTTACTTCTCAGATTCAAAGAAGAGGTTGATTCTTGGTTCTTCTGAGTGCCCTATTAGCCTCTTCCTGAGGTCCCTGCCGTCCCTCCTGGAGGTCAGGTGGGGACGCCCGGAGACTTTCATCTCCAGTCTTTCTGCATTTCTTTTTCTTCATCCTGTAGTCAGCTGGCAGCTACATTGGATTTGCAGTTGAACGATTGATTTCTTATTGAATTTGCTGCACTTGGAGATTATTTGTGGGGAAGGAAACTAGGAGAGGCCAGGGTCTCCATTTAAATCAGTATCTTTTAAGAGTTTCTGGGAAAGAAAGAAAAATTGCTGTTCCAGATCATAGTTTCTTGGAAATTGACTTTTAAAATGGACTTCACATAAAATTTTCACAAATTAAGGATGATCAGTTCACCCCAGGCTCTTACTTCACTCAGTTAGTTTAAAGTTATGGTTTTATCATGGTTAAGTTTTTAATTTTGCATCAAATGACAACTCAGAACACGTCAGTCACCTTTTGGAAAATTTGTTCTACCTGTGATGGGTTGTTTTACTTTTGTCTAAAAAATAGTGTGTTCCACACAGTGTAATGTAGAATAAGACATTGGAGTCTTTTGTGTTAGCAATGTATTTATTTAAACTATTGTAAAACTTCACAGTATTTCTGAAATTACACACTTTACCTTGTGTATTGCTGACTAAAATGTGTCATTCTTGGGACAGTCTAGCAAATGGTTTTAAAACATTTAACTTACTGATTTTGTCCCCTGTTATTTGTAGTAAAAGGGTCCAATATCCATTCATAATCTTCATGTATTCATGAAAGGATGTCTGCTGTATAACTCAAAATTTTACTTAATGAGTATCCCTTGATAAAGCTTGTCAGGGATCCTAAGTGTAATTGCTCACTGATCATCAGAGGCAGTTTGTGAACAGTTATTAAAAATGTAGACCGAAGAATTTTTTTTGAAGGCATTATTTGCTGTTTAGTGACAAAGCAGGGTATTTTGAATGTTTTAGTCTTTTTCTAAAATCTGGGTGTCCTGTGTAAGCAGGGCTACCTTATAATATTTTATTGATGGTTTTCTTTAAGAATAAATCAATAAAGGAATAAATAGCTAACTTCAAATATAAAAGGAAAAAGATTTACAGGTACATTCTTTCACCTTATTTTTATTTTTTAATCTATTATTTTTCACCATTGACTGAGATGTTTTGATTAAAATTTTAGCTTTTCTTTTTTTTGACAAACTTTGAATTGTCAGTCTTCATTTACAAGGCTGTTGGTGATCCTCTTATTCTGTCTAAAATACTGTTGACTCATTTCAGAAGCAAATTTTAGTAATTTAAGAGAATGTAAGTTTTTAAATAAAACTCATCAGGTTATACACACTGAAGAAGCATTTTTAGATTAGAATATTTAAAAAGATTTTTTTAGTTGTTGATGGACCTTTATTTATTATGTGGTGCTGATGTTTGAACCCAGTGCCTCACTCGTGCTAGGTGAGTGCTCTACCACTGAACTACAACCCCAGCCCAGATTAGACTATTTTAAAAATGGCACTTCTGTGCCTTTTAATTTTAGGTTTGAAAGGAAATTGTTCATAGTAGTTGTTGTGGAATATCTTTTTTTTTTTTTGCATAGAATTTTATAAGCTGAAGGGAAGTAGGTCCATGAATTTTACCACCTGTTCTTGGCAGGAAGATCTGCTTCCAGCAAGTTTCTTGGATATCCCACTGGAGTCAGGTAGACATCTGTTCTTCCCTATTTTCATATGTATCTTTGAGATAAGAAAAAATTTCAATCAATGTTATTAAAATTATTATTTATAACTTGTTTATCCTTTTAGGTTCTTCCAGAGCCTCTCATTAGTACTGACACTCTGTACTAGTATACCTTTACTCTTTATTCCTTTGGAATATATAAAATGAATTTTTAAAATTTTGTGCATGCCACTTAATTTTAGATTAATTGAAAATCAACATGAGTCTTTTTACTATTGTGAGAGACATTGATTCAGCCAGGCATGGTAGTGCATGAGACAAGACGATCCCAAATTCCACTTCAGCTTGGGCAATTTGTGAGACCCTGTCCCAAAATAAAAGAAAAAAGAGGGGGATCCTGGAGATGTGGTTCAGTAGTAGAACAGTTGTCTAGCATGAACCAGGCCCTGTGTTCCATCCCCAATACTGCCAAATCAAATTAAAAAGAAAAAAAAAGGCATTGATTTAAGTGTATAATTTTCTTGTCGACTGCCATAGCAGAACACCTCAAACTTAGGTGCTTAAACACATTTATTCTTACAGGTTTGAGGCTAGAAGTCTGAAATTTAAATGCAGACTAGGGAATAATCCCTCTAAGAAGATGCTCCGGGAGGAGAACTGTTCTTGGTCTCTTTCAGCTTCTGGTTGCTGACAACATTCTTTGACTTGAGGCCACATCCCTCTAGTTGCTCTCATGGTCCAGTACAGTGAATTGCCTTCAGCTCTGATTCACAGCTCCCGCTGTCTTTCTCTTATAAGGACACTTGTCCTTGGGTTTGGATCTACCCGCATAATCCAGGATGATCAGCTCCTGTCAAAATTCTTACATAAATATTTCCAAAGATCAGTTTTCCAAATAAGGAAACATTCATGAGCTCCCAGACTTAAAACATAGATGTGCTTTCCAGGGCCACCATTCAGCTCTGACAGTAGTGAATGCCATGGTTCTGCCTGTTCAGTGTTTTGTTGTTCTGACCCTGCTAGAGGGATGTCCTATTGAATTATTTACTTTTCAAAAAAAAAAAAAAAAAAATTAGGTTTTTACTTTATTTAGCATACATAAACCTTGTTTATGCTAAGGGTACTTTCAAAATCATTTTCCATAGTATTTTCATTTCTTAATTATATATTTACCTTCACATATCCCATAAATATTTGATTAGTTGTCTTATTTTCAGAATCAGTAGCAGTTTCTTATTCACGTTTTAATATTCTTTTAATTCTTGATTCTGGAATTATCATTTTCTGATAGTATACCCCACAAAGTCCCAAAAAAACCCACAAAATGAAACAAAACTGGAAACCTGATAAATTAGAGATAATATAACTTCTGGGTCGAGACATTATTATACATAATTTGAAGATGAAATAAAAACCTTCCATGATAAACAAAAGTTAAAAGAATTTACAGCTAGAAAACCAGCACTAAACATCCTTGGCAAAATATTTCATGAAGAGGAAATGAAAAACAACAATGAAAACCAGCAGAGGGAGGTAGTACACTAAAAGAAAAATTAATCAAAGAGGAAAACCAACAAGTTAAATAACAAAAATAAACAAATATGGCTGGAAATACAAACCATGTCTCAATAGTAACCCTAAATGTTAATGGCTTAAACTCACCAATCAAAAGACATAGGCTAGCAGATTGGATTAAAAAGACCCAACAATATGCTGCTTATAGGAGACTCATTTGATAGGAAAAGACATCACAGACTGAAGGTGAAAGGTTGGGAAAAATCATACCACTCACATGGACTGCGGAAGCAAGCAGGGGTCTCCATATTCATATCAAATAAAGTAGACTTCAAGCCAAAGTTAACCAAAAGGGATAAAGATGGACATTATATACTGCTCAAGGGAACTATACACCAACAAGACATAATAATCAGAAATATATATGCCCCAAACAATGGTGCAGCTATGTTCATCAAACAAACTTAAGTTCAAGAGTCAAATGACCACAACACAATAATCTTGGGTGATTTTAACATACCTCTCTCACCACTGGACAGATCTTCCATACAAAAGTTGAATAAAGAAACTGTAGAGCTCAATAACACAATTAATAAATTAGACTTAACTGACATATATAGAATGTATCAACCAATATCAAGTGGATATGCTTTCTTCTCAGCAGCACATGGATCCTTCTCAAAAATAGACCATATACTATGCTTCAGGGCAACTCTTAGCAAATACAAAGGAGTAGAGATACTACCATGTATTTTATCAGATCATAATGGAATAAAATTGGAAATCAATGATAAAACAAAAAATAAAAAATACTACATCACATGGAGACTGAACAATATGCTACTGAATGAACAGTGGGTTACAGAAGACATCAAGGAGAAGATTAAAAAATTTTTTCTTGCGGTAAATGAGAACACAGACACAATATATTGAAATCTGTGGGACACTATGAAAGCAGAACTAAGAGGAAAATTCATTGCATGGGGTTCATTCCGTAAAAGAAGAAAAAGTCAACAAATAAATGACCTCACACTATACCT